TTTAAACCCTACAATGTGTAGTAGTAACAGTAAAGTAAGAACGTCTCTAATATAATTGCATATATATATAGGCAATGAGATTTGGCATCCACGTTGTAGTGACGAGGCAGCCCTGGAGCAGAAGCAGTTGAACGCCAGACCAGTAAGTACAATTACAGTGCGACTACTATAACCAGGGCCACTAAGCCGGCGAGAACCAATCAAATTGTAGAATGAAAACAATACGTTTAAACTTCGGGAATTGGAGCCAATCAGAAAGCAGCAGAAAGCAATAGCCTTTCGTTCATATCTTTTTCATTCCCACGAGAAAATAACGGTGGAAAAATTACCATTCTTGTGCAGTCTAGTTTTCTGATTGGSTCGACTACCCTAAAGCTGGACAACATGGTTTTCATTCTACATTTTAATTGGCTCTCTTGTCTAACTGGTTTAAGTGGCCTCGGTTACGGTAGTTGCTAAGTGACGGGAAGTTTTTATATCATGTCACCAAAGCCCAGTCTACATTCATAGACTGAAGCAGTATTTAAAGATCCTATTATACATTCTAAGACATGTGCCACGAGAGATCTGTAATTACACTACTTGGTGGAAAAAATAGAAAACGCTCTTCTCTCATGTTCTGCCAATCCCCAAGTGCTTTATAACTGCACCCGCTACAGCAAGAAAGTTTTTTTTCTTTTATAAAACAAAAATTACAATAGCCGTTATTATGGATACGAATAACGAGACGAAAATTTACTATTCAGTGAACTTTTTTTGACTATAATGTTTTATAACCGCCAAAGTTCTTTAACCCAAACTAGGGACCGTTCTATTTTTACGTGCGTGAAGGGGCTGGTATAATTTTTTTTTTCTTTTTTCTTACAGTTCAAAGATCAAATCATCCTTGCTCCTCAAACAGGTAAAGACATTTATYGTTTCACATATTCTTCATTTTTTCCATATAGTTTTTCCCCTTGAGGTATATTTACTTCCAAACAGCAAACTTTCGTATTTTGTTGGGCTACCTGTGGATTTGGCGGGGAATTTCTAAGTCAAAACGCGTGTGCTCCAAATCTCTGGCATTCGCTACTCCACGCTCGTAATATGCAAGGGTTGAATTTGKWTWTTTTTTTTCAGTGAGTCAAACTCATTCGGCCCCAGAACCGCCAGCGAGAACAGCAAGCCATAACGCCTGGAATAACGTGTACAAGGGAACTGCTCCTCCAGAGGAAGAAGCACCACCAAGGGTATGAAATCATTAGTTTTTCATTCATAAAACATRCATTGGATTTCACTGAATATTTTCCAGTTGGTTAACCATTTTGGTGTTACATGTCAGTATACCTTACGTTTTTCACTTATCTACAATTAGCGCTTTTTCTCAGCGTTTTGATTGGATGGATTGGAAAACAATGGGAAACCCTTTTAGTGTCACCGGCAAGACAAACGGTCTGAAATATCTGGTTATTTGAGTTCCCCGAAATGCTTATAAAATGATTTATTTTACTTTCAGGAAACTAAGAGCAGGCCATATTCCTATCATGAGTATTCATCAGCTGCAAAGTCTTGTAAGT